GAGGGAAAAATTTAAACAAATATATAACAAATAATTTTGAACATTATAATCTTTTAAGCTTAAGGCTAGAAGTATTAACAATATCATCATTTCCAATTCAGAGATAATGAAGAGAAGAATTTTGAGAATTCCTATACTAAATCTTATCTATTGTTATTGTTATTAGGTACCATCAAGTAAAGTACAACTAACTCATAAAGACCCTATGAACAACAGATCTGAAACCAGTCCTATCCAATGCCATCTTCACAATTTCTGACATTCTTTAGCCCATTGTTTCAGTCACGGTGTCATTCTACCTGGTTGAGGTTCTTCCTCTCCTTCACCATATCTCCACTTTTCCAAGCATGATATCTCTTTCCAAGGAATAGCCTCTCTTAGCAACATGCCCAAAGTGTGTGGGACAAAATGTAGTCATCTTTGCCTCCAAGGAGCTCTTTGGTTCCATCTTTTCTAAGACATATCTTTTCTTTTGGCAGTCAATGGAATGAATATTCAGTACTTTTCTCCAGCCCCACAGCTTAAAGGTACCAATTCTTTTTCTGTCATCATTATTCATTGTCTGGCTCTCAGATGCAAAAGTGATTGAAAAGATGTTATTGTTGTTGTTGATTGCCTTTGAGTGGAGCACAACTCATAGAGACTCTATGAACAAAAGGCATGAAGCCCCTCTACAATTATCAATGTTTATCAGAGTTCATAGGATTTCTGGAGACCTGTTATTTAGGAATTGGTTGCCACTCCTGCTTCCAATGAAAAGACTATGGCTTTTTAAAAAAAGACTATTGCTTGAATCAGGTACACCTTGGTCCTCAAACTGACATCATTGTTCCTCAGTAATATAGTGAGGTACCTGATGCAGACTTTTCTAATGCAGTGTGTATCCTGGCTGCTGGTATCAAGGGTGTTGACTGTGGATCCAAGTAAAATGAGGATGTTGACAATTTCAGTTGTTTCTCCATTAATCATGATGTTGCCTATTGGTCCAATGGTTAGAATTGTTTTGTTTTCTTGATGTTGAGATATAGTCCATATTGAAGGCTGTAGTGTTTGATCTTCTGCAGCAAGGCTTCAAGCCATCCTCACTTTTAGCAAGTAAGATTGTGTCATTTGCATAGTGCCAGTTAGGTCAAAGTTTCCTCAGATCCTGATGCCACATTTTTCTTCATAGAATCCAACTTCAATAAGTTCAAGCTGTGCTGAAGGCATAAAAAGTAAGGCCCCAGGAATTGATGAGATACCAGTTGTTCAACATTAGTCTCTTAGAAGTGGTAAAGTAAAAACAGTAGTGAACTCAGGAAACTTGCATCTAGTTTATTGCTTTGTCATTAAGCAGGTATTGGTAAGAAATCCTGAAACTTTTGAGGCTTCATTGTTGTCATATAATACATATTTTACTTAGAACCTTCTTAGAATTAGTTAAAATGGAAAGCCTTCAACAATACGTAGGTGTGGTGGGAGAATCCTTAAAAATTGGCTTTTGAATGAATGAAAACCCCAAATCTCTGTAAATGCTCATTAAAATTAATAAAATTTAATAAAAAAATTGGCTTTTCTAGCCATTGTGTTAGCCCTCATTGGGAGGCATGGTCTCCAGCTACCTTAACTGCAGACACATAGTCTTGCAATCATTAACAGCTGTGGGACCAGTACAAGAGAGAGCACTTTCCACGCTGTGTGGGGACTCTAAAGACACTGTGAAAAATGGTGGTGGAGAGATGATGCAGAGACTGGCACTGCTGTGAAATAACCATGGCAAGATATAGCCAGAGGAACTTTAGAGATGGAGCTACAGTTAAAGATTTTGCTTGCTATATGATTGAAGGAAAATCTAGCTTCTAACTCCTCTGAGATAAAGTTTTCTGGACTAATGGCAGAAACCACAGGTTTATTTGTGCTGCTGAACTGAATCTAGACATGCACTTGCTGACTGAGAAGCTGTGTGAACTAATTGAGGAATTTTGCCTTGTTAATCTGATTTGGGATTACTGTACTAAACCTGGACTAAAACTGTGTGATATTCTTTGCCTTACTTGCACTCCTCAACCTATTTCCCTAATAAATACCAAAGCTGTGAGTAAAGTCTGTAAGTCAAGTTGCAATGAAAATTGACCCCAATGAGTGGTAGTAATAGCTGCAGGAGCATGTTGGGTGGCATGTCTGACCATGTAGTTATCTGTATGATACTATGGATATTATTGAAGGGGAAAGTTCCCCTTTATGAAGTGGGTAGAAGTTACAGACTTAGCCTACCCCACATAGCATTCACTCCTTTCACACAAGGACTCTATTTTTATTTCCACATAAGGAAGCAGCAGCTTAGTGGTAAGCAGTCATGCTGCCAGCCCAAAAGCACATGGTCCAAATCCAAGTGGGATAGCCTGAGGGAGAAGAAAACCCACAGGAAGTTCAACTGTGAATGAGTTCTGATTCAAAAGGTAGAAAACCACAACATAGCTGAATCTCCTGTGGGTTTTTAGAAGCTGTAAACCACACTGGCTAGACACCATCTTTCTCCTGCAGAGAAGCTGGTAGATTAGAACTGTTTGCCCTTGTGTTGGCAGGGAAATTTTCTTACCCACTAGGCTACCAATTATAATTTAGTGCCATTCCATTAGAACTGACTCATAGCTCACCCTTAAGCAAGTTTTCAGAGACTGGAAATCACAGGAGAAAAGATAGCCTATCTTTCTTCCTTGGGACAGTCGGTAGATTCAAGCCACCTGCGTTCGGGTTGGCAATACAGCAATTTAACTACCAGCTACCAGAGCTCACTGAAAAACTGAAAGTTTGATAGTTCAAATCCACCAGTGACTGAAAACAGTTATGTCTTGGCAAAACTGTAGCCAGAGTGTTCCTTGGGAACAAAATGACAAAACTTCATCTCACATATTTTGGGTATGTTGCTAGAAGAGTCTATTCCTTGGAGAGGGAGGGACATCATGCTTGGAAAGATGTAGGGTCAGTGAAAGAGAAGAGACCCTCAGGCAGATGGACTGACACAGTGACTTCAGCAATGAGCTTGAGTTTGTCAGAAATAATGAGAATGGCACAGGATAGGACGCTGTTAAGATCTGTTGTTCATAGGGTTGCTGTCATACTTGACAACACCTATCTACAAGAGACTAATAAAATCACAGTGTTTTATATGACTTGTAGAGGGCAGGCACTCCAAACATTGTTAATTATATATTGGACACTTACCTTTATAAGGTAGTAACAAGTACTGTGGATGATGGGTTGAGTGCACATGAGTACTCTGTATATTCTGTTCTTTCAATAATACTTTTGTTTTGTTTTGTCTTTCTCAAAGATCTTCAGCTTAGATCTTGGAGGTATATCAACTGTGGTTCTAAATGGATATGATGTAGTAAAGGAATGTCTTCTTCATCAAAGTGAAATTTTTGCAGACAGACCCTGCCTTCCTTTATTCATGAAGATGACAAAGATGGGAGGTATGTTTATTTTAATGTATTGAGGGATTTATTGAGCTTTAAGCACCACATCCTTTATTTTAAGTAATATTAAGCCCCAATAATTTGTATTCTATTGTATTCATCAACAGGAAAGTATCTATTTGTCTTTCTTATCACCTATCTATCTTTTCAATCTATCCACCCATCTACCCATTCATCTGTCTATCCATCCATCCATCCTGGCACTTAGGGCATTTCCAGGTTTCCTGAAATATTTTTGTACAAAACCCCCCAATTCATTGCCATCAAGTGAAACTGACACATAGTTGACACATGGGAAAAAATTGCCCATCTTTCTTTTTGGGGGGCTCTGGTGGATTTGACCTTTTTGTTAGTAGCACAACTCATGTAGTATATGCCACCAGAATGCCTTATTTTTTAAATGCATGTACATGCTAATTCTACTGTTGTAGTCCAGTTACAGTGAGAATTGTGTTTTAAAGCACTATTGTTATTGTTTGGTGCTACCAAGTCAACTATGCCTCCTAGTGATCATATGAACAATAGATTGGAACTTTGTCCTCTGCACCATTCCTATCTCCCACATGCTTGACTCCGTTGGTATAGTCACTATGTCATGCCAGCTCATCGTGGATCTTCCTCTCTTTCTCTGACTCTCCACCTTTCCCAGTATGAATTCTTTCTCCAATGAGTGGCCCCTCTTGATAACATGCCTAAAGTATATGAGACAAAATTTCACCATCCTTGCCTCAAAGAAACACTGTAATTGCACTCTTAAAGACAAATTTATTTGTTCTTTTGGCAATTCATGGAATATTCAATACTCTTCACCATCAACACAGCTCAAAGCCATCTATTCTTCTTTTGTCATCCTTATTCATTGTCCAACTTTCAGATACATAGGGAGCTGGAGGAAAGACTATAGCTTGCATCAGACACAACTTAGTCTTTAAATGGATATCTTTGCTCTTTCGTGCTTTGGAGAGATCCTTGACAGCAGATTTCTCAATATCTTTGTTTTTAGCACTTTGGAGAGATTCTTGACAGCAGATTTCCCAATGCAATACATCTTGCTTTCTTGACTGCTGTTACTGTGGATGTTGATTTTGGGGCCAAGTAAAATTAAGTAATTGACAAACCAATCTTTTCTCCACCTATCATGATGTTGTCTGTCCAGTGGTGAACAGATACTTTTTTCCTTTATATTGAAATGTAATCCCTATTGAAAGTTGTAGTGTGTGATCTTCTGCAGCGAAATGCTGTTCAAGTCCTTCTCACTTTTAGCAAGCATGGTAGTATCATCTGCATAACACAGGTCGTTAATGAGTCTTCCTCTGATTCTGATGCCACATTCTTCTTCATAAAGTCTAGCTTCTCAAATGACTTGCTCAGCATAAACACTGAGTAGTTACAGAGATAGGATACAACCTTGATACACATCTTCCCTGATTTTAAACCACTCAATATTCCTTTGTTCTTTCTGACAACTGCTTCTTGGTCTATGTAGAGGATTTGCAGCACTTAGTAATTAGTAATACCTGTAGTTTTTATGAAACAAGTGTCCTATACACACATTTGAATCAGAAATACCTTCTTCTTTAAGTAATAATTTATTAAAAATCTTTATGTTTAATGATAAGTGTAAATGCAATCTTTCATCTTAAGAATAAAACATGATTAAATATCACAAATACTGTTATAATTTAATAGTTTCATAAATTCTGTCTCATATAATTAAACATGAAAAAATAATAAGAATTCTTAACAATAAAAGCAAAGACAGTATATTCTTTTAAGCTGATATTGTTAAGGACATAGAAAAGCCAAAGCAATTTAAAAAATTTAAAGAATCTTTAAAAAACGTTATAACTATCAAGTTAGTAATTTTTTTTTTCATTAAAACATAGGTGGTAGTAGGAGTTTTATTGTTAGGATTGTATTACGTATTTGTAGAATGACCATATTTCTCCCCATAAACAAGAGGATTTCTAAGAGGTATTGAGTGCTGAGGAAGTCAAGTCCTTGTCTGTTTACAACACTTTGTAAAAGTACCTGACTTTATCTAAGACTTTCAAGTCTTTTTCTATATATTTATTTCTTGAAGTATAAAAGTAAATATTAAAAGACCTTGAGTCAGAACTGACTCATAGCTGACCTTCCAGCAGGTTTTCAGAGGCAGTATATCCCACAGGAGGAGATTGTCCCTCCTTCTCCATTGGTGCAGCTGGTGGATTTGAACCACATACCTCTGAGATTGCAGCACAGCTTTTTACCATTAGGTCCCTTGGACACTATCACATGCAACTGAATCTATGTGTTTTGGATCTGATAAGTAAGATTCTCCTACATAATTTTACTGTTATTGTTGTTACTGTCAAATTGTACCTTATGGAACTAACCATTCCTAGCTCAAATGGAAGGGAGTAGTGATAAGAATTGAGAAAAGTGAAACAAGGAGGCTATGGAGGCCTTAGAAGTGGAGGAAAGATTATTGCTTAAAACAAAACAACTTTGATCAGGTAATATTTTGAGTAGAAGAGCTCTGGTGGCCTCGTGATTAAGGAGTTGTGCTGTCTGTCAATCCAAAGGCAGATGGTTTGAACTCTCCAGTTACTTTTCAGGAGAGATAGGTAATCTCCTCCCATGGGGTTTACAGCCTTTGAGAACCCATTGGAAGGTCAGTTGTGAGCCATTGAGTTATGATTCATTGGCAATGAGATTGTTGAAAGGAAGGAAAATGAGCCCTGGTGGTACAGTGGTCAAGAGCTCAATTGATAACCTGAATGTCAGTGGTTAAAACCCATCAGGCACTCTCAGGAAGAAAAATGTGACAGTCTTGCTTCTAGAAAGATCTTTATCCTTGGAAACCCTCTGGGACAAGCTGCTCGGTCCTATAGAGTCATTAAGAGTCAGAAATGCCTCAACAGCAAAAATATGGCAAGGGAAGTAAGAGAGGTAAGTCATCCTTAGATCTAAGGAAAGTCCACAATTGCAAAGGCCTTGAATTGGGACCATGTTCCAGTAAAGATCCACCTAATTGGTGGGGAAAATAGTGTGGGAGAAAGAGGAGAATAGACGTGACAGACAACAACTACAGCTCAGGTTGAGGCATTATTAGCCATTGAAGGATATTGGCTTTTTAAGTGAAATGTGTAGCCCTCAGAGCGTGCTGAACAGAAGAGGAACACACTGACACAGCTGCTCTTTTTATAACAAAATCACTCAGGCAGCTTTATGGAAAATGAGCTATAGGGAAGTAAGAATGGAAGCAAGGATACAAGTTATACTATTATAATTTCTTAGGCAAGAGACTATGGTGACTTAGACTAGGATGATAACAAAAGAGGTAGCCAAGAATGTTCAGAGACTCTATCCTCTGAGGGCAGAGTCATTTAGATTTGTTAATTGATTGTTGTATTGATTATGTGTCATGCAAGGAAAAAGGTCTAGGATAACCCCAAGGTTTTAGCATGTGGAAATGAAAACATGCTCCAGTGAAACTGGGAAGTCTGCCAGTTGACTAAATTGGAGCAGAGTGTGGAATCAAGAATTCAGTCTGGGACAGGAAAAAGGTCTTCAGGCATGTAGGTAAAATATCAAGTTATTTCCTCAGGAGAAGTCAGATTGTCACTTCTGAGTGTACTAAACATTCACGGAGTTAATGTGAGCTGAGATTTAATGCCCAGTCAAACCAACTCAAATATAGACGACAAACTATTACAAAGAATTTAGGAAGTAGTATTCTCATGCACTCGTTTTGTTGACTCTACCAAAGACCAGGCTGTATACAATCTAAAGTATTGGAAATGACATGGCAGAGTGATGGGGTAGATCCCCAGGTGGCTGCCAGCATCACAGTAACAAGAAGATACTGTAAGTTTTTTAAAAGAAGCAATGAACACTATCTGGGAAGAAATATTTCCCCTAGAAAGTTGCTTTGAATATTGTCAAGTCTCTAACTTCAATCACCAATTTAGAGAAAATTGAGAGGTTAGAGTAACTTACTGAATAACATCCTGGGAAAACAAAGTACAAACATCCATCAAAATCTAGATTGAGAGTACTCCATAGGACTTAATTTCTTCAACAAATAGATTAAAAGGAAATGAAAATAGATGAAGGTGAAGTTTGCAGGTTAAATGAGACAATGACGTATTAAGCAATCTCAGTATGTGGCCTTTTATATCAATCCTAATGTACATAAACAAATACCTTCATATGAGACAACTTAAAATTTAAGCACATAATTATTATGGTCTAATTTTAGAGATAATGATGATGTTATGACTATGTATTTTTACAGCATACATTATACATACAAAAATATTTAGAAGTGTAATAGCATTTCAAAGTATTACGTGTGAGCAATGTATGAAAGTCTAGGTGAAACAAACTTGTCATGGATTGATAAATGATGAACTGGGTCACATAGTCATAAGAATTTATTGTACTGTTTTTCTCTACCACTGAATAGGTCTTAGAAATAAAAGTAAATCAATCAAAAGGAGAACAAACCAAAAACCAAACTTGCCAGAATTTCTCATCGGAGTGAAAGGCCGTAGTACTTGCTATGATCGAGCTCCTCTACCTGTTCAATCATGTCCTCTCTAATCTCCTACTGCTCTCCTCCTATCTCCTCTCCAGCTCTCCAGCTGACCTGCTAACCGAGCCTTTGCTGTTTCTGGAATACAAAGGACTTGCTCTCCTTACAGTGCCTTGGCTCACCCTGCCTGCAGTGATCTTTTCTTAGATAACTTTGGTTCACTCCCTCACCTCCTGTGAATCTTTGTTCAAATGTCACCTTCACAATGAGCCCCTCCCTAACTCCTTGTTCTCCTTTCTGTCTATATTATCTGTGTCTATTTCACTGTCTACCTATTAATTAGAAAGTTATGCTACCAAGCCAAAGGTGGGTGACTTTAATCTGCAGCCCTCAGGCCTGGTTTTAACTGGTTTTGGCCAATCTTTCTAGGTGACATAGCACTGCTCTGTCCATTTGTTGTGCAGAGGTAACTCATGGCTGCTGTGATGCTAAACACTGTGACACTGATTTGTCAAATGTGATAATGGTTACTCATGATGGACAGTGTTTGGTGGAGATTCCTGATTAAAACAAGCTTGGAAGCAGGAGTGGCATCCACTTCTGAAAGAGCTTGCCTCTCAAAACTCTATGAACCTGGAGAAACGATGAAAACTATACAAGGCCTGAAGTTCATAGGGTTCCTTACTATGAGTTGTCTATGACTCGACAGCACTTGACAACAACACAGAACAACCCATTAATTAATCTTATCCCACTGGTACATAAGCCCCATGAAGGTAGGAATCTTTGCTCTTTTGCACACGACATATTCCTGACACTCAGAAGATTGCCTATAACACAGTATATGCTCCATAAAGACTTATTGATTGAATATTTGTTAAATAATATCATCAAGAAGTGCAGAAAAGAGATTAGACTGTAGGAATATAATTACTCACAGCATTAGGCCCTCTTGCATATGGTTTTATTTTAAAATAAGCTCTGATAGCATAGTGGGTAAAGAGTTGCATTTCTAATCCCAAAACATGTCATAGATGGCACAGCCTTGGTTTTTGAAAGTGAGTAGGACTTGAAACACTAGCTGCAGAATATCAAGAATTACAGCCTTCAATACAGGTTACATTTCAACATCAAGAAGACAAAGTTCCTTACCATGGGGCCAGCGGACAACATCATGATAGATGGAGAAAGGATTGAGGCTTTCAAGGTTTTCATCTTGCTTGGATTAACAATCAACACACTTGGTACCCTCAGTGAGATCAGGCCCACTGTTAGGGATTTTTCCAAAATACTTAAGAGCAATGATGTCAGCTTGATGATGGGGGTGTGCCTGATTTAGGCTGTGGTCTTTTCAATCACTGCTGTGCATATGGCAGCTGGATAATGACTAGAGATGACAGAAGAAGAATTGATGCCTTTGAGTGGTGGTGTTGAAGAGTACTGATTATCCTGTGGACTGGCAGAAGAACAAACAGATGTGTTCTGGGAAAAGTGCAGCCAGAATGCTCCTTGGAGGAAAACCTTCAAAGCTTCATCCCTCATACTTTGGACATTTTGCTAGGAGAGGCTATTCTTTGGAAAGGGACATCATGTTTGGTAAGATAAAGGATCAGTGAAGAAGAGGATGGTCCTAATGAGATGGACAAACACAGTGACTGCAGCCATGGAGTCACGTGTGTCACAGTTGATGAGGATGGCACAGGATAGGACAGGGTTCAGCTCTGTTGTTCTTAAGGTCACTGTGAGTCATGCTCAACTCAGGCGCAACTAACAACAACAACGAGTAGCAAAGAATTGAACTTAACCACTGGGTCAGCTGTTAGAGAAAGATAATTTGGGAAGTAGTCACTATCCATTTATGGTTTTTAGTCCATAGCATTTCCAGCTGGTAGACACAGGGGAGTTAAAATAACAAAATACTTTCAATATTTTTTTTTCAGGCTTACTCAATTCCAGATATGGTCGAGGATGGATTGATCATAGAAGATTAGCTGTCAATAGCTTTCGCTATTTTGGATATGGCCAAAAGTCTTTTGAATCTAAAATCTTAGAAGAGACTAAATTTTTCATTGATGCTATAGAAACATATAAAGGTAGTCCTTTTGACCTTAAGCAGTTAACAACAAAAGCTGTTTCAAACATAACCAACCTGGTCCTTTTTGGAGAACGATTCACCTACGAAGACACTGACTTCCAGCACATGATAGAGTTATTTAGTGAAAACGTGGAGCTGGCAGCTAGTGCCTCAGTCTTCCTGTATAACGCCTTTCCGTGGATTGGCGTCTTACCTTTTGGAAAACACCAGCAGCTATTTAGAAATGCAGTTGTGGTCTATGATTTTCTCTCCACACTTATTGAAAAAGCTTCGGTCAACAGAAAGCCTCAGTTACCTCAGCATTTTGTTGATGCTTACCTGGACGAGCTGGACCAAGGTAAAAATGACCCATCATCTACTTTTTCCAAAGAAAACCTAATTTTCTCAGTAGGTGAACTCATCATTGCTGGGACAGAAACTACAACCAATGTGCTACGGTGGGCCGTTCTTTTCATGGCCCTTTATCCCAACATTCAAGGTGAGCCTTTCCTGGTGAGCTCTGGGTCAGTCCTTGTGTGTAGGGGCCATACATGTTGCAGAGTCTCTGGCCATGTAGAATGCATTTTTATGTAGGCATTCCTGATGTGTTAGCCAAGGAGAAGAGAAATATCTAATAGTTAACAAGGAATCTTCAAATCTCTTCTCACAATTCTTATACTAAAACTCTGAGACAAGTTGTTCAATATGATTTTACAATGAAGACAAAGGATGAATGGTAACTTTGCCTAATGTCAGCCATTAGAAGTTTTTAGAGGCTAAATTTTATGCTCCACTTTTCCCTTCTGAGAATAATGATGTTCTTCCCATTATAAATTTGTTTCATTTTTGTTTTATTAATTTTAATTTGTGATTAAAAATGTTTAGCATTTTGAGAACAAAGTTACTCATAGAGTATTGGCGACTAGTTGTATAAGATATAGGTATTCATTTAAAACTCCCAACTAACGCCAAGTCTCAGTCATTCTGTACTACCCAGAACCTTTTGCCTTCTTAAGGGTTATCCTGTGTTTTATCCCAGAAGGAATTTCCTTTAGATGTACCTCTAAGAACTGCATATTAACTTGAGTACTTTTTTTCTGGCAGGACAAGTTCACAAAGAGATTGACTTAATTATGGGCCCGAATGGGACGCCTTCTTGGGATGACAAATGCAAAATGCCTTATACTGAGGCAGTTTTACATGAAGTCTTAAGATTCTGTAATATAGTTCCTCTAGGGATTTTCCATGCAACCTCTGAAGATGCAACTGTGCGTGGCTATTCCATTCCTAAAGGCACAACAGTAATCACAAATCTTTATTCTGTACACTTCGATGAAAAGTACTGGAAAGACCCAGAAGTGTTCTATCCTGAGCGATTTTTGGACAGCAGTGGATATTTTGCCAAGAAGGAAGCTTTGGTTCCTTTTTCCTTAGGTAAGAGAATCTTCACAGGGCTATAACTCTAGGATAAGTTGTAATGATGCTTCCTAACGATGCATCTTAATCCAAAGCCCCTTTCTACAAAATAAAATGGACAAACTCTAAAAATATTGTTGATTCTTATAGGAGTGTTCTTATTGAAGATTATTAACATTTGTTTCTACTCAAAATAAGTTTTTATTTACTAACTAGAGATAAACTGTTGACAAGCTCTCTTCCAAAACTTCTGCACACGTGCCTGTGTGTGTGTAGATATAGATAGATAGATAGATAGATAGATAGATAGATAGATAGATAATAAAACTGGTGAGCTAACAGATTGTTTGAGAAAACAGACCCAGAGAGAATAATAACATGATAATCTGAAGGATAACTAGAATCTACTTCTGCTACAAGATTAATGTATCTTATCTCTAGCAAATAGTCCTTCTGCTGGGAAAAAAAATGACCTATGCAACAAAGATAGATTGGAAATTCTCCTTCATTGAGGAAGGATACACACATTTGGCTGGCTGAAGTGCAATCAGCTTCTCTTGGAGCACTAACTCCAAGTGTCACACCTCAGATTATCCCTTTGATGGAAAATCTTAGGCTCTGTTACAGCATGCAGAGAAATTGGGAGATGGGCCTAGTAAGCTTACAAAAGTCAATGAGCTGCTGGAAGAGGCAAAGAAATGGGTTCTAGGAACTAAAGTGCCAATTTCTATTCTTGGAGATTTGAGAAAATCCTTTAATAAGCACAGCTTTCTCTAACCTATCTTTAAGTTCCAGATTTCTTTTTTTTTAATTTTTTTTAAGTTCCAGATTTCTGAATAATACCCAAATATTATGCAGTAATTTTAAGAAATACTGTAGTTTTCTATAAGTACTCTATATGTGCTTTCTGTTTAGGGAGAAGACACTGCCTTGGAGAGCAGCTGGCTCGGATGGAAATGTTCCTATTTTTCACAGCATTGCTACAGCGTTTTCACTTGCATTTTCCACATGAACGTCTTCCAGACCTCAAGCCCAGGTTGGGCATGACATTGCAACCCCAGCCGTACCTTATCTGTGCTGAAAGACGCTGAGAAAACATGCAGGAACAAGACTGTTAGTTTGCATCACCAGCAAACCTTGCTTAATCTAATCAATGTGTCACAAAATCACATAGTGAAGCCAAACTCTCAAGTCCATTGTGGATTCATATCATTGTGGCCTATGAGGGTCCCAAAGGGTTTCTGAGGTTAGACGTTCTCATATTTGTAAAGAAACTCTTTTACCGAAGCAGATGGCCTCAATCTTTATGGTGGATTTGAACTGACATCATCTTGGTGAACTACCCAACACTTAATCCACTATACAACCAAGGCTTCTCTCATAAAGGCCAAGTGAGCAGGAAGAAGAAAAGCCCAAAACAGTTGCCATCTAGGGAGCCTGACTGATCCTCCTGTGTTGCAGAGTAGAACTGTTCTCAGGATTTTCAAGGCTGCCTGTCTGTCAGGTAGCTTTTCTTCCAAGGTGCTTCCGGGTGTCTTCAAACTGTCAACCTTCCAGTTATAGTAAATTCTTTCACACTGACACCATTTCAGGACTCCAAGTGAGCACAGACATGCCCTTTAGAATTTTAGCTAGACCAGTATAAAGTATTAGCTATATTTTTTAAAGCTTTTATGACTTTTAAGGTGGAAGTCTGTCAGAGTAAACAAAAGTAGAAATTGCAGTGTTGTCTAAGATGCTAAGAAGGGTTATAAGTGCCCTACGTGCAGCCTGACTTTTCATGTCTTGTCTAGTACCAATACTCATGACTTCGGGTAGCATCTTGATCTGTGTCCTTGGTTTTATTTGCGGAGGATGCCAACTACTGCTGCTCAGTAAGAAACTGTGTGGTACCAACTAAATTTAATAGAAGAGCAAAGGAAAAAAAAATCAGGGTCCAGAAATTATTTTGGATTACAGACGTCAAAATTTTAGGCATAGTGGCAGACGACAGAAGTATCCACGTTTAATGTACAGCATGTCAGTGCTTTTGCACCTGCTCCTTGCTATGTCTTCACAGGAACCCTGTTAACATATCCTGGAATTGGGATCCCTGTGGTGTCTATCTCCATAGCAAGAGTTCAGCACATACTAAATTATAGTATTGTACTTAGGTTAAAAATGGCATGACTTGATTCTTTGTAGACAGACATTTACCCTGACACTACTTTCCACAGTCAGGTGGACAAAAATTAAACGAGGCTATGTTGTTAGGAGGGAGCGCTGGTGGCCAAGTGGTAAGGAGTTGCACTGCTGAGCCAAAGACATATGGTTCAAATCTCCCAGTTGCTCTGAGGGAGAAAGACGGGCATTCTGCTCCAGAGTGGTTTGCAGAGGCTGCTGGGTCAGCTAAGTCAGTTCCCAGTCAGAGAAACAAAGCTGACCCTCAAGGGGTTTTTCAGGCACTTTAAATAACACACAACGAGAATGCCAATCTTTCTTCCAAGGAGTGAATGACGGATTCAAATCAAACCACCTTCTTTTGGGTTGGCTGCACAGCTCCTTGATCCCTGGGCCACCAGAGCACCCCTAATGAACTATAGAAGCCATATATATATGCAATGACATAGGTCTGATGACTCTATATTAAACTGCACACCTGATTGTAATGTACACCATTTTTATAAGTTCCTATGTAATGTCAATAAAATCTGCCCATGTAATGGACCAAAACAGAATTTAAATAAATTTCCAAGTTTTATAGCTTTCATTCTCTAAAAAATAATGCATAAGAATTATTTTTTGGTTCAAATATTTTTTATTATTAAGTTTAAAAAGACTTTGGATTTCCATTCATTCATTTTTGCACTTTTCTCCCTGCCCAACCTTCCTCCTACCCCAGTACACTCTTCTCTTTGAAAAGTAAAAGGACAAATTTTTCACTGTTTTACAATCCCTCCCCCTAGGTCCACTCTACAATGCAGCCTTCATTCTGGACTCCTGCCATGACAAAAATACCAAAGCACATATCCATTTTAAATAGTTATCTCCCTCATCTGTTTTAGTGCAGTATACATTATTTATCCCTGCTTTCTCAACCCCAATGTTAGCCCTATTTTACAACAGTGGCATATGCAGTATTTGTCCTTTTGTGACTGAGATATTTCTCTCAGCATGTCTTCCAGGGTCACATATTTCAGGAGTTCCTTGTTTTTTTCAATGCAACAGAGTATTTAATTGTGAGAATATACCACAGCTTCTCTATCCATTTGTTTGTTGATGGGCACTTAGGTTGTTTCCAACTCCTTGATATTGTGAACAAAGCCGCAATAAACATGGGTATGCATATATCTGCTTGGATGTCGGATATGATCTCTTTGGGCTATATTCACAGTAGTGGAATTGCTGGGTCAAATGATATTTCTATTTGCAACTTTTTGAGAAAGCACCACACCGCCTTCCACAGTAGTTGCACCATTTTATACTTCCACCAACAGTGAATAAGGGTCCCAGTTTCTCCACAACCTCGCCAGCATTTTTGCTTGCTGTTCTGTTAAATTTTGCTATTCTTACTGGGGTGAGATGATATGATAATGATTATTAATAGCAAAATAAAACAAAACCCTAAAATGTCCTTATAATTATTTTAATAACTTTTAAAAATTGTGTTTTATACAGTCCTTCATTTTCAATATATTTTGTTCACTTATATTGTGGGTTGGTTTTATTTCCTTCCTTATAATGGCTCTAAAATCAACATTCTTGGGACCAGCAGCCAGGAAATTAAAAGAATTGCATTGAGAAAGTCTACTGTCAGAGACCTCTCCAAAGTACTGAAGAACAAAAATGTCAGTCTGCACCTGACACAGGCCATGGTCCTTGCAATTACTTACTATGCATCAGAAAGCTAGACAATGACTAGGGACAATAAAAGGAGAATTTATGCCTTTGAGTTGTGGTGCTGGAGAAGAGTACTGAATTACCATGGACTGCTAGGAGAACACACAAGTTCATCCTGGAGGGGGTAAGGACAGGCTGTTCCTTGGAGGCAAGGATTCTGAAGCTCCGTATGATATACTTTGGACATGTTGCAAGGCGGATCAGTCCTTGGAGAGGGGCGTCATGCTTGGGAGGGTGGGAAGATGGAGGAACAGCACAGGAGAGGAAGACCCTCGATGAGATGGATTGATTGGTTCAGTGACTGGGGTAATGGGGGTAGGTGTGTCAGAGATAAGATTGGCAGAGGATAGAGCAGGGTTTAGGGCTGCTGTACATTGGGTCACTATGAGTCACAGGCAACTTGACGGCACCTAACAACAACAACAACAACAATCATCCCACTAATAACTATTTTCATGAAAGCGTGTAAGCCAGCTACTTCATGCCCAATATCCTAATCTCCCCTTTGTAGACAGCCAGTTGCTGATTTGCCCATCCCTATCTCACATGCAAGCAAGATTCTACTGAAGATTATCCAAAAACAACTGGAACAGTACATCAGCAGAGAACTGCCAGAAGTCCAGGCTGGGTTTAGAAGGGGTCGTGGTACTAGGGATATTGTAGGTGATGTTAGATGGATCTTAGCTGAAAGCAGGGAATACCAGGAGGATGTCTGTGTTTCATTGATTATGCAAAGGCATTTGACTGTGTGGATCATAAAAAACTGTGGCTGACTCTGAGAAGAATGGGAACACTTGATCGTTCTGATGCGCAACCTATACTTAGAACAAGAGGCAGTCGTCAGAACAGAGCAAGGAAACACTGCATGGTTCAAAATTGGGAAAGGCATATGCCAGGGATGTGTCCTATCTCCATCCCTTTTCAACCTGTATGCAGAACAGATTCTCCGAGAGGCTGGGCTCTATGAGGAGAAGTGTGGCATCAGGATTGGTGGAAGATCTATTAACAATCTGCATTATGCAGATGGCACAACCCTGCTTGCTGAAACTGAGGAGGACCTGAAATGCTTGCTGAAGAAGGTCAAGGACTGCAGCCTTCAGTATGGATTGAGGCTCAATGTCAAGAAGACAAAGATTCTCACTTCTGGACCAATTGGCAGCATCAGGATGGATGGTGAAAAGGTTGAGATTGTTAACAGCTTTAGTCTGCTTGGCTCCACGGTCAACACTCTTGGCACCAGTAGCCAGGAAATAAAAAATTGTATTGCCATGGGAAAGTCTGCTGTTAGGGACCTCTCCAGGGTACTGAAGAGCAATGGTGTCACTCTGGAGACAAAGATGTGTCTGATAGAGGCCATGGTCTTTGCAATCACTTGTTATGCATCAGAGAGCTGGACAATGATTAGGGAGGATAGAAGAGTTGATGCCTTTGAGTTGTGGTGCTGGAGAAGAGTATTGAATGTACCATGGACTGCCAAGAAAACAAACAGATTCATCCTGGAGAGGGTTAAACCAAGCTACTCCTTGGAGGCAAGGATTCTGGGGCTTCGTCTGGCATAATTTGAACATGTTGTAAGGAGGGACAGGTCCTTGGAGAGGGACATCATGCTTGGCAGGGTCGAGGGACATTGCAGGAGGGGAAGACCCTCTATGAGGTGAATTGATTCAGTGACTGGGGTAATCGGGATGGCTGTGTCAAAGGCAGTGCGAGTGGCACACGATAGAGCACGGTTTAGGGCTGTTGTACACAGGGTCGCTATGAGTCGCAAGTGACTTGACAGTACATAACAACAACATCAAACCAGTATTCTGAGGAAACAAGCTTATCCCTTTTGTTGAAGGACCCTCTGTTCAACTTGGAAACTTTGAGCACCTGCATCCATAAGCATCATCCAGTCCAGAGCAAGCCCTCAGGTTGCAGCTCTCTACCGTAGTTCACCTCTTTATCTGGTCAACTCATCCCCAGCCATCAGTGGCTAGGTTTCAACTGCCCTTATAATTTGAAATTTAAAAGCAAATAAAATGCTATAATCCTTGGGAAAAGAGAAAATACAACAATGAAAATTACCTAAACAATGATTATTAAAATTCTATACATCAGAATCAATGGTGTATATACTAAACTTTTGCTCAAAGAAAATTCACAGTCCTATTATTTATTACCATTAATGAAACAGCTTCACTGAGGACCAGGCCGCCTAATTTAAGGAGGCCTTCCAGTTGTTTGACTCAACAGGTGATGGAAAGATCCAGTACAGCCAGTGTGGGGATGTAATGAGGC